CCAGTGTCTGGTGGAAAGCAGATTGAACCAGGTTTTCCTCTAGGTTTTTGACTGGTCTTTTTTATCCTGAAAAACTCCTCAGTCCTTAACGATTACAAGCATACACATAACAAGATGCAGCCACCACTATGCTTGGAAATATGGAGTGGTACTCAGTAATGTGTTGTATTGGATTGGCCCCAAACAAAACAATTTATATTCAGGACAAAAAGTTTATTGATTTGTCACATTTTCTTTGCAGTATTACTTAAGTGCCTTGTTGCAAAAAGGATGCATGTTTTGGAATATTTTTATTCTGTACAGGCTCCTTCTTTTCACTCTGTCAATTAGGTTAGTATTGTGGAGTAACTACAATGTTGTTGGTCCATTCTCAGAGTTCTCCTACCACAACCATTAAACTCTGTAACTGTTTTAAAGTCACCATTGGCCTCATGGTAAAATCCCTGAGCCGTTTCCTTCCTCTCCGGCAACTGAGTTAGGAAGGATGCCTGTATCTTTGTAGTGACTGGGTGTATTGATTCACCACCCAAAGTTCACCATGCTCAAAGGGATATTCAATGTCTGCTTTTTTTTTGCCCATCTACCAATAGGTGCCCTTCTTTGCGAGGCATTGGAAAACCTCCCTGGTCTTTGTGGTTGAATCTGTGTTTGAAATTCACTGTTCAACTGAGAGACCTTACAGAAAATGGTATGTGTGGGGTACAGAGATGAGGTAGTCACCACTTTGACATTATGGGGTATTGTGTGTAGGCCAGTAACACAAAATCTACATTTAATAAATGTTTAAATCCAGGCTGTAACACAACAAAATGTGCTAAAAAGTCAATTGGTGTGAATACTTTTTGAAGGCACTGTAGCTTCTGAGGGCCTAGCCAATGGCTGACTTAGCTAGCTTGTGTTTTTGTATTCTTATGATTGGGACCTACTGGCTTTTGGTAGATGTTTTGTTTTGTTTGGTACAACGTGTTGGAAGATTTTTTTTCCCCCATTGAAGGCCTATGTCCAATAGCCATGGTTCGCCACTGCATAAAACCCTTTTAGGTTCTAGGTAGAACCTTTTTTCTAAGAGTGTACAGTCTGTCCTGATGTTAAATTGCTTCCAAGGTCTCTGCAAATACTATTCTACATTTGTACAAAATAATATTACATTTTGCCCATATGGTGCAGTTAGCTAATTTAACAGGAACCAACAAACTAGATCACAATGAAGCAGGCAGAAATAATTAAGGAATTTATATTACTGGGTAAAGGATCCATTCTAATATATGTCATATAAATAGAAAAATACATATTCTGTCAATATTTTATACCTGAAATTATTCCACATTTCAGTTATGTAAAGATAAATTATTCTAGCTGGATATCAGATTTCATGGAATGATATGAATACGAAACCTTAGATGAAAATAATCAACATCTGGTGAAAACAACACAGTTTCCATAAATACAGCACTGTTATCTTTTGCCAGAATCCTCTCAACAGCACGTGTCAGGAATCAAACCCCTGGAGTATATTGATGTGCGAGACTCAAGGCCACACTTTTGTTTTATAGAGGACACCACAACATACTGTGGTAAAGAAGATGATTGTGTGAATGAAAAAGCCAGCACAATGAGATAGTAATTACATAAGAGGTTATTTGTAGCTCTGTCTGAAAATTCACAATATCACAATGTATGCACTGTGTATCATAGTAAACTGATTCACATATGGGGGCCTACTATATTTATTCAGAGAAAATGACTTAATTCCATCAGAGCATATGTTGAGACCAACAGCACGGGGAAAAACACACTAAAAGTAGTGTTGACTTTGACAAAACACCCCAAAAGGGCCTTTGACCATTGTTAAAGATCCAGAGAGGCACGACAAAACCTGATTACGGTGCTCAATAGCACACCAGTTTAGCATGACATCATGAAGGAAAGCAAAAACAGAAATTGTTTTCACATTTCCCTGATCACAATCTTATCAGGCACACCTCTGACCAACTTGGACTCAGGGGTAGTCGTAACATAGTAAACGAAAAACCGGGAAACCGAATTAGTATGATATGTTACGTATGGTATGGTATGTATTAATTTGTGGATCCATTTCATATCATATGTTACGAATTACTATCCGTTTGATATGTTATGAATAACAATTCGTATGATGTGTTATGATTTGCAATTTGTACAATATGTTACAAATTTGCAATACGTATGATATGTTATGAATTCCCATTTGTTGTGGCTAACGTTAGCTAGGTGGCTAGGTGGCCAACGCTAATGTTAGCTAGATGGCTAACATTAGCTAGTCTAGGGGTTAAGGTTAGGGTTAAGGTTAGGGTTAGGAGTTAGGTTAAAGAGTTAAGGTTAGGGTTAGCTAACATGCTAAGTAGTTGCAAAGTATCTACAAAGTAGTAAGTGGTTGCAAAGTTGTTAATTATCTAAAATGTTAAAGTTGTCGGTGATGAGATTCGAACTCACAACCTTTGGTTTGGTAGACATTCACGTTATACATCCACCCATCCATCCATGTCAACTAACCACCCTCCTTTTGTTTTTGCGTTAAGTAACCTTCTGTCTTATGTACTGTAACCATACCAAACGTGGTGGACCTTATGAGTGTGCGGGCTCTATTTATTTTATACTGACTATCTTTGGCCCTGCACCCCACTAAAGGATGTGCGTTTATCACACTTTACTACCATACCAAACATAAAATACTATACTAATTTGACCGTCCAGGATTTTCATTTACTGTTTACATCTAGTCTATGAGACCAGGCTGCTCTAACAGTTTGTCCTACTGTACCATACAAATGAATGGGTTCATTTGGGTAAAAGCTTACAGTAATTTCAAGCTTGGGTTCCACAGAGAGTAATAAAGTATACCAATTATCATTTGCATGACAATCCCAATATACAGTAGTAATACATGACAAAGGTCAGTACTCACAGTGTTAGTTATTTCTGATTGATATAGGACAACTGGGGTACACTAACACCTTGTCTTATCACTGAGGATATCAATCAAATGAATGCCTCTGTAGATACTTTCTCTTATTTTGTATCAGTGTCAAGCCAGTGATTTGGTTTGTGTGAATAAACATGGGTTTATGATGCCAATGAATTAGCAAGGGAAGACCTTGTTTCTGCAGTTTGTGTTTTATCTGTAGGTTGGCAGGATGCATTGGAGAGACCTGTTTGTGGTAAGATGCAGTGTGATTTGTTCTGCCAATTCTAAGCGGTGCTCACTAAAGCAAAGGGTGGGCTGTCATGCTAAGATTACGCAAGCGTAATAATAGAGAAATTACTGTTTCGGTTACACATGGCCATTATTAAATCTGATTAAGAGGCCTACGTAAATAACAACAACAAACATCAGTGGGCTAGGGCTGTGATATTTCACTGGTCGTTCTTTCCCAGAGTATTTTTATGACAAGATCTCCTTTAGAAATAACATTTTGTACAGACTCCAGGCAAACCTAGTGTATGTCACTTGCTTACACCTCCTCCTGAAGCTGCCAAAATTAGGTGATTCAAAATCCATTTTAAGATATAACTTAATCTAATTTAAACACTCATTCGTATTTCCATGTTGGCTTTACAAAGTAGGTCACAAGGCTCGCTTTAAACCCATTAATATCAATGAAAACATAACCTGCCTCTCAGAGATAAGAAGCCCATTGTATTTGGACTATTGACCTTGATCATTTCCATGTCATTGAGCAACAGCACTAAACCATGGAGGCAGAGTGAGAGGCTGCAGATGGCCCCAATCTGATCTGGGAAACATTTTACAGGCAGAGCTGTGATCACATTTGATTAGGAATCTCACTGGCTCATTAGCAGGTAAGCGGTGGCGATGTGGTGATGAGGGTGATAGCCGCCTTGCCCTGCTTGCTTTAAATAGGCACATCATGCAGGTCTTGCAATGCCAATGTCGTGAGGACCTGGATCGCACTGTACTGTTTCCATCTCAAGAACTACCACCCTCTGCATGGAACAATGTGACAGTCCCATCGACACACCATAAATGTCGTGGTCCATCAACCACAAGGCGGGGGGAACACACTTTTTTTTGACAGTGGAATTACCCATCATCCTCATTATCACATCAATGAATGGTATGATAGGCGGTGTGAAATGAATTTGGAGTTTTATGTGTGATTTTCGGATACGACAGACAAGACACAAGAAATGTTGATGGGGACATTAATCATAAGTGTTTGTTATTCTATGCATTCAAATAGGTACCAACTGCAAGACAATATACAGTAGCTTCAAGAGTATGACAATTAACATTGAAGAAGGACACTGACACAACACTGTTATCAGGCCCATGGTCAACACGCTGATGCTTTTACGGCAACACATCAACCATACAGTTGACCCCCCCCCCGTCTTTGGTTTCCTGACATTATATTTGTTCAATGTACTGTTACAGCGACACAACACGATTGAAACGATGCTATACATCATTTATTTCCTAGTGAAATTGTCGAACAAAAACAAGTAGCATTGTGCTTCACTCTCCGGCTGACAAAACACATTTAGGATTTTTGGAGCTGTTACCAGGCATCTGGAGCTCATTGAAAGAGAAATGTAAACATGTCGAATCCATTGTTAGATAACCTAGTCCCACCCAGAACACATACCTACTATAACTCACGGGGTGAAGAAAGAAACAGTTTGATGGCAAACATCCTTAGTTTTACTTTGCATCACATCTATGCCACTGAACTTACTGTAGTCTTTCTTACTGTCGTCACAATGTACTCATAGTCCATCTTGATTTGATTTTTTCATCTATATCAATCACATTTCAATTATAGTTTACCAGATGAGGTACATAATATAAGGCATCATCCCCAAAACTGATAAAACAGCTAAAACATTTCACATGAGCATTATAAAATCTCTCCTATTTTCTATTCTACATAAACTGAATCATCCCCACTTCCCCATAGTCTTGTGCTTTCTCATGGCAGATCAGGATGGCTGTTCATTTCTTAACACTGAGTATGGTCATCTGAAGGCACTTTGAGGGCCACCAGCGCTGTCTTGTAGGTGCTGGCCTTGACCTCGCTGTACAGGCCCAGCTGCTTTTTGCTGGACAGTGGTGTCTCCAAGGTGACAGATCCAGCTGTCATTGCGTCAGCTGGCGAGGGCGAGTTCCGCTTAAAGAACCCAAGCAGGGTGGTGAGCGCGTGACCAACATCATGTCGTGCGCCCTCGTTAACAAAACAGTAGAGGATGGGGTCAGCCACACAGTTCAGGCTGGTGAGGGCCAGCGCCACGTGGTAGGCTTCAAACAGGTCCTCCTCTACGCCACAGTCGCAGGGCTTCTGGAGGAAGAGGATGCTGCGACACAGCAGGAGCACATGGTATGGCCCGAAGCACAGCAATACGATCAGGATTAGGCTCAGCGCCAGGCGCTTGATCTTGGCCTTCTCGTGGCACTCCGTGGACACATTGCCGTGCACCGCCCGCAGAATTCCCCGGTACGCACCCAGCATGAGCAGCCATGGCACCAGGAAACCCAGAAAGGTCCGGTAAAGGTTCATGCCAGCCACCCAGTCCTGCATGGGGTACTTCTCGAAGCAGAAGGTGTGGTTGAAACGGTCCTGGAAGAGCTCGTCGTGGAAGAGGGGCGCAGAGTTTGCCACTATCTCGATGGTCCACACCATGGAACTGACCAGCACGGCGGTTTTGACCCGCCGGACCTTGGCGAACTTGAGCGGGTAGGCCACGGCCAGGTATCGGTCAATGGAGATGCAGCAGAGGAAGGCGATGCTGACGTAGATGTTGGTGTAGAAGATGAAGCCGAAGAGCTTGCAGGAATTCTGGCCGTGAATCCAGTCGTCGTGCTGGAGGAAGTAGTCGATCCATAGGGGCAGGGTGCCGATGTAGAGGAGGTCAGCCATGGAGAGGTTGATCAAGTAGATGCCCAGCTCGTTTTTCTGCTTCACCTGCAAGTAAGCTGCCCACAGAGCCATGCAGTTGGTGGGCAGGCCCAGGACGATGACAATGATGTAGAGCGTAGGCTGGAAGTACTGGTCGATCTTTGAGTCCACATTGCAGAAGGAAATGTTGCACATTGTCCTCATATTCTGTAGGTGCATTGTTTATTTTGGGACTAAGCTTTTAAAGGGACAGGACAATCCAACATGTTGTTGTTAATGAGAAGGAAAGAGGGAAAAACGACATTCCGTACAGTGTTGTTGAGTAATTCCTTATATCCAGGCCTGAAAGCACACGTTTTCTCCAGGCGGCCTTCACATGTCAAACAGCTGTTTCCCATTTCAAGGCTGGATCCCACACCTTTTTCAGATGAGGAAGAAGACAAGAAGAGAAAAAAAAGTGGTGAAATAAAACCCCTCTCGTGGTCAAAGAGCCAGGCCTCCACTCCGGCACAAGGACCTCATAAATCTTGGAGAGAGTATTGTCCGGAGTCTGTCGCTATCTGTGGAGAGGGGGGTGGGGAGGTTGATGGGGTGGAGGGGGAGGACGGGGCCACTCTGTGCTGGATGAGAACTCTTCAAATGCCAAACAACACACACACTTCCTCCAAGACTGTCACTGACGATCCATGTCACGCACACAGCAGCAGCAGGCAATCTGTTAACTCAGGCCTCCACGGCTCTGCCCATCTGAAACAGAAGAAAGGAGAGTGTGTGAGATAGTGTGTATTGCCAATTTCAATTTGTTTCAGTTTTACAATCCAATCAGTTTTTCACATACAGTTCATGTTTATGCACTTGGATTGAATTGTTAGATCCATACAATTCTCAAGTTAATCTATATTAGCTTTCTGTTGCCTATTATTTCTGGCATGTAGTCTAACCTTGAACTTCCAATACTCGTCACCTCTGCTTGTTTTCATGTTAAAGCGATTATTATTCATTCTTAGCTCATTCTGGTCTGACCAATGGTCTTTCTCACACAGTCACGAATTCAGCCGAGGCTGCCCCTTCTCCTTGCTCTGGCAGGTTTCGGCGTTCGTCGTCACCGGCTTACTAGCCACTACCGCTCCATTTATCATCACTCCATTTGTCTTGTCTTGTCTTGTCTTGTCAATCACACACACCTGGTACTCATTCCCTCATGAGTGGCGCAGTGGTCTAAGGCACTGCATTGCAGTGCTAACTGTGCCACTAGAGATCCTGGTTCGAATCCAGTCTCTGTCGCAGCCGGCCGCGACCGGGAGACTCATGGGCGGCGCACAATTGGCCCAGCGTCGTCCAGGGTAGGGGAGGGAATGGCCGGCAGGGATGTAGCTCAGTTGATAGAGCATGGCGTTTGCAACGCCAGGGTTGTGGGTTTGATTCCCACGGGGGGCCAGTATAAAAAAATTAAATGTATTCACTAACTGTAAGTCGCTCTGGATAAGAGCGTCTGCTAAATGACTAAAATGTAAATTAGTCTGTGTATAAGTGTTCCCTCTGCCCCCTTGTCCTTTGTGAGTAATTGTTCATTGTGAGAGTGAGTAGCTCAATGTCGTCAGCGCTCTTTTGGGTCAGGAGGCGGCCGGCAGGGCACTCTCGTATCACCCCAGGTATTGAGCACCCACACTTGATCAGAGCCCTCTGCTGTGCACTGTACCATACCCATCTACTTCCCTGATTACATGAGAGTTCCCAAGTGTAAGGTGCTAGTAGATTCAGGCGGAGCTGGGAACTTTATGGATAAAACTTTCGCACACCGCCAGGGCATTTCATTAGTTCCCCTATCCATTCCACGCCCCATCAGAGCACTTGATAGTCGACCATTAGGGTCCGGGTTGATAAAGGAAGTCACGGTACCAGTCACCATGATCACACATGAGACGCATTGTGAGCAGGTCACTTTTTCCATCATTGAGTCTCCTGCTTTCCCTGTGGTGTTAGGTATTCCGTGGCTAGCACTCCACAACCCCACTTTCTCATGGCCACAGAGGGTTCTCACGGGGTTGTCGTGAGAGTGTCAGGGTAGGTGTCTGGGTGTTTCCGTTGGTGCAACCACGATGGAAAGTCCAGACGGTGCCTCCACCATGCGCATTCCCCCGGAATACCATGATCTGGCACAAGTTTTCTCCAAGAATAAAGCAACTAAATTGCCACCTCATCGGGCGGGGGATTGCGCAATAAACCTTCGGGTAGATGCTGTACCTCCCAGGAGTCATGTGTATCCCCTGTCGCAGGCGGAGACGGAGGCTATGGAGACATACGTCACCGACTCCCTGCGCCAGGGGTACATACGTCCCTCCACTTCACCCGCCTCCTCAAGTTTCTTTTTTGTGAAGAAGAAAGACGGCGGTCTGCGCCCATGCATTGACTATCGACCACTGAACAAGGAGACGTTTAGATTTAGTTATCCTCTCCCCCTCATTCCGTCAGTGGTTGAGTCATTGCATGGAGCGCGCTTCTTCACTAAATTAGATCTCAGGAGTGTGTACAACCTGGTGTGTATCCAAGAGGGAGATGAGTGGAAGACAGCATTCAGCACAACAACGGGGCATTATGAATACCTGGTGATGCCCTATGGTTTGATGAATGCTCCCTCAGTCTTCCAGTTCTTTGTGAACGAGGTGTTTCGGGACATGCTTGGTCGCGGTGTAGTGGTCTACATCGATGACATCTTGGTGTATTCCGCTACGCGTGCCGAGCATGAGTCCCTGGTTCGCAAAGTACTGGCCCGACTGTTGGAAAATTACCTTTATGCTAAGGCAGAAAAGTGTATGTTTTTCCAGCAGTCCGTCTCCTTCCTCGGATACCGCATTTCTACCACAGGTGTGGAGATGGAGGGCGACCGCATTGCAGCCGTGCGTAATTGGCCGACTCCAACCACGGTAAAGGAGGTGCAGCGCTTCCTTGGCTTCGCCAACTATTATCCACCGTATCCTGTAGTACATCCGGGCAGCGAGGAGGCTGAACCCTCACCAGGCCAGGTGGGCCCTATTATTCACCAGGTTTGATTTCATTCTGTCATACATTCCGGGTACGAAGAACGTGAAGGCAGACGCACTGTCCCGGCTGTATGATACAGAGGAGAGGCCCAGAGACAATACCCCCATACTGCCAGACTCATGCATTGTGGCACCGGTAGTATGGGTGATGGACGCGGATATAGCGCAGGCATTACACACAGATCCATCTCCACCGCAGTGTCCAGCTGGGCTGCAGTACGTGCCTGCGCTTATCCGTGATAGTCTGATCTACTGGGCACACACATCACCCTCCTCTGGTCATCCAGGTATCGGTCGTACAGTGCGCTGCCTGACCGAAAAGTACTGGTGGCCTACCTTGGCTAAGGATGTGAGGTGTATGTTTCCTCCTGCTCAGTGTGCGCCCAGAGTAAGGCACCTAGGCACCTCCCAGCGGGTAAGTTAAAACCTTTACCAGTTCCACAACGACCATGGTCTCATTTGAGTGTTGATTCTTTAACTGATCTGCCTCTCTCTCAAGGGAACACCACCATCCTGGTCGTTGTGGACCGCTTTTCGAAGGCCTGCCGCCTCCTTCCTCTGCCCGGTCTCCCCACGGCCCTACAAACTGCGGAGGCCCTGTTTACACACGTCTTCCGGCACTACGGGGTACCAGAGGATATAGTGTCTGACCGAGGTCCCCAGTTCACATCAAAAGTCTGGAAGGCGTTCATGGAACGTCTGGGAGTCTCGGTCAGCCTGACCTCTGGGTTCCACCCTGAGAGTAATGGGCAGGTGGAACGGGTAAATCAGGATGTGGGTAGGTTCCTGAGGTCCTATTGCCAGTACCGACCGGGGGAGTGGTCGGTGTTCCTGCCATGGGCAGAATATGCCCAGAACTCTCTCCGCCACTCCTCTACGAACCTAACGCCATTTCAGTGTGTTTTAGTTATCAACCGGTTCTGGCACCGTAGCACCAGAGCCAGACCGAAGCTCCTGTGGTGGATGACTGGTTTTGGCGCGCAGAGGAGATGTGGAACGCTGCCCATTTTCACCTCCAACGTGCCGTGCGTCGTCAGAAGGCCAACGCTGACCGTCACCGCAGTGAGGCCCCCGTCTTTGTACCGGGGAATCGGGTCTGGTTCTCGACCCGGAATCTGCCCCTCCGCCTGCCCTGCCAGAAGCTGAGCCCGCGGTTTGTAGGGCCGTTCAAAGTCCTGAGGAGAATCAACGAGGTCATATATAGGTTATTACTCCCCCCTGATTACCGTATTCACCCCTCGTTTCATGTGTCTCTCCTCAGGCCGGTGGTGGCTGGTCCGCTCCAGGAGTCTGAGGTGTGGGAGGTCCCTCCACCTCCTTTGGACATCTAGGGGGCGCCGGCGTACTCTGTCCGTTCCATACTGGATTCGAGGTGCTGGGTGGGGGGCCTTCAGTATCTCGTGGAGTGGGAAGGGTACAGTCCGGATGAACGTTGCTGGGTCCCGGTGAAGGATATCCTCGATCCCTCTCTGTTGAGGGACTTCCATCGTCGTCATCCGACTCTCCCTGCTCCGCGTCCTCCTGGCCGTCGCCAAGGCCGGTGTCAGCGCGCTGCTGGAGCTGCGCGTCAAGGGGGGGTTACTGTCACGAATTCAGCCGAGGCTGCCCCTCCTCCTTGCTCGGGCAGGTTTCGGTGTTCGTCGTCACCGGCTTACTAGCCACTACCGCTCTATTTATCATCACTCCATTTATCTTGTCTTGTCTTGTCAATCACACACACCTGGTACTCATCCCATATAAGTGTTCCCTCTGCCCCCTTGTCCTTTGTGAGTGATTGTTCATTGTGAGAGTGAGTAGCTCGGTTGAGCTACTCTTTCCTTGTATGTAGCCAAGGTGGATTTTTCCCTTGTGCTAGTTTCATTTTGACGCTTGCTGCACTTTATTCATGTACACTGAATAAACTCTGGATTTCTGTGTTTTACCTCCTACGCCTGACTCCGTCATTCACACCTCATCACACACACTCTTATGTTTTTACTCATAGTGTATGCTTTACACAAGAGTATAATTACATACTTGATACGAAAGTGTTTACTGTTTACAGACGGACACAAGGGACAGCCCTGTCTTCCCCACCTGTCATGATTGGTCCAATTAGTCACAATTCTGATGGAAACTACACTAATCACTAGTTTGTATAATATTCAGTGGTGTTGAACGGTAGTTATGGCCATGAAA